TTTTTTTTTTTTCCCAGAGAGGCCTTGCCATGTTGCCAGGCTGGAGGGAGTGCAGTGGCTATTCACAGGTGCAATCATAGTGCCTTACAGCCTCAAACTCCTGGGCTCAAGCGATCCTTTTGCTTTAGCCTCCTGAGTAGTTGGAATTACATGCGCCTGCCCCTATGCGCAGCTTATTATGCACTCAGATGAGCATTTGACATAAAATACTAAGTGCCCAAATACTCATAATAGCTGAAAGCTGGAAACCAAATTATCAACAGCTGAATGGATAAATCAGTTGTATAGTCATACAATGGGATATCACTCAGCATTAAAAAAAGAATGTACTACTGGTATACACAGTAACATGAATTGCAGAAATATGCTGAGTGAAAGAAGCTAGACACAAAAGAATACATACTGTATTATTTCTTTTACATAAAATGTTAGGAGAGACAAAATCTTAAAGTCAGCCAGATACAGCAATAGATAAGTCAGGACTGCAGTCCCACCTGAAGACTGGATTGAGAGGGTCAGTTTGTATCCAAGCTCTCATGTGGTTATTGGCAGGACCCCGTTCCTTGCCACAGGTCCTCTCCATACAGCAGCTTGCAACATGCAACTAGCTATCTACAGAGTGAATGGTTGAGAGAGAGCAAGATGGGAGCCAGTCTTTTGTTAATCTTGAAGGTGACATGCATCATTTTTGTCATATTCTTTTCATCATAAGTTATTAGGTCCAGCCCACATTCAAGGGTTTGAAGACCAGGAGATAGAATCACTGGGGACTATCTTACAGGTCAATTTAAATGTAATAATCTTATATATGTCAATGCAGAATGACCACGAGTAGTATGTATTTTTAAAAGGCTCATGCACTAAAATGGTCATCTTCTGGTTAATGCCCAAAATTGCAGAGGGAGATTTGAAACTTCAGTTTAAGGATTTAATTAGTAAAATATAGACTATCCAGGGAGAGTTACTCTTTGGGCCTGAATAATAGTACCGTTGACCCTTGAA